ATAATTTTATCACCAAACTCAGTGATGAATTAAGTATTAATTCTCTTTATCATCTCAATATTTTATATTAAAAAGATCTCCTCATTACCAGTTAGAGATTTTATATTATTATTCACACACATTCACACAAACACACACACATATATATATTTTTTCTTTTCTCAATAATTTTGTAGTTTTTAAACTTAATAGTAATTAAATTTGGATTTTAAAAATTGCCAGTTTTTAATTTTAATATTAAATTTTATCATATAAATTTATAATTATTAGTTAGTATAAATTATTTTTAATATTACACGTATTTAAAGATCTGAATAGCTATTATAGCAGGATTTCGTTGTCAAGCTTTTGAATCTTTCTATACTTCGTTTTTGATTGGTTATTCTAGCTTTTGTAACAATGTTTCCCCCTAGTGTAGGATCGTTAATTAATCTGAAACTTTTAAAACCATTTATTTTCTTTTCAACATCATCACTTGATAAGACACAGAGTGTGTTGAAACAAAATGGCTATTTTTGTAGTGATTTTATAACATACTTATGTTATAATTTTTTATAAAAAATAATTATATATATATATATATATGTATGTGTGTGTGTGTGTGTATATATATATATATATATATGTGTATGTATGTGTGTATATGTATGTATGTGTGTGTATGTGTATATATATAAATATGTATATGTGTATGTATGATAAAATCACGGCGGTATAATGGTTGGCAAGCATGGTTCGCGAGATCAGTTGCGACTGAGTAATGAGTTCGTTCCTCACTGGGTGCCCTCTAATTTCGGCTTTGTGCCACGATATATTTGTATATATATGTATGTGTATGTATGTGTATATATATATATATCTGTGTGTGTATATATGTATATATCTCTATGTGTCCTATTTTATTGTGTATGTATATTTATATTTAAGTATATTTCTGTTTGTATGAATGTGTTTATATATTTGGATGTTAGGCTATATGTATATTGCTGTGTGTTGGTATTTGAAGGTATATTTATGTATCTATATGTTAGTACGTTTATATATGTATTTGGTTGAGTGTGGTTGTATTTTTATGTATGCATGTATATATTGGTAGTTGTTATTGTAGATAGATATATTTATATATATGTTTATTTGTAGATATGTATGTATGTGTGTATATATATTTATGTATGTTTGTGTATGTATATATATGTGTGTGTGTTGGCACCTATTATGTATGCGTTTGTGTGTATGTGTGGGTATGAAAACTTTGGTATATCATGACTGTTTTTATATATGTAAGTATGTGTGCATAAAAATCTGTGTATATATGTGTGTATTTAGGTTTATATGTATATGTGTGTGCATGTATACTTGTTATCATAGATATGTATATGTGCGTATATGTTTATGTTTATATATTTATTTGTATGTATTTCTGTATGTATATGTATGTATGAGTGTATGTTTATATGTGTTAATTTGCGTTTGCTGCCGCGTATATATATTTATATATATATATATATATATATATATTTATATATATATATATGTATCTGTGGGTTTCTTTATCCTGTTTTTCTTTGCCTAATATATAATGAAACTATTATCAACTTTTCTGATTAATATATATTTTTATTGATATTTATGGTTTGGAATTTTCGTTTTAATATATTAAATAATATTATTTTTAACCATTTTTATCTTTGTATATTTGCTCCCTTAAGTTATAATTTAATAAGTGGTTAGCATTTATTTAAGTCTGAAATATTTATTGGTTGTGATATCTGATTGTCTATGTCATTGTCTGTGGATGTATGTATGTGTATCTATCGGTGTCTATGTGTATGTAGAGTGTATTCGCATTTAACTGTGTGTGTGTATAAGTGTTGGTTTCCACGTCTCCTTTTTTCATAAAGGGCTGTAGAGTGTTCATAGCTTGCCCCCCCCCATTTTTGTGTTTGTGTGTGTGTGTGTGTGTGTGTGTGTGTGTGTGTATCTGATTATGTCTGGGTATTCATACACTTTAAAATAAAAAAGGAAAAGAAAGGGAAAAGAAAGAAATATATATACATGTATTGTCAAATGACCGGATATATTAGCGTCTTGTCGAACGTAATTTCAATGAAGAAATGAATTGAATAAACATATATTTTTTCTTTTCTCAATAATTTTTCTAGTTTTTAAACTTAATAGTGATTAAATTTGGATTTTAAAATTGCCAGTTTTTAATTTTAATATTAAAATTCATCATATAATTTTATAATTATTGGTTAGTATTAATTATATTTAATATTACACGTATTTAAAGATCTGAATAGCTATTATAGCAGGATTTCGTTGTCAAGCTTTTGAATCTTTCTATACTTCGTTTTTGATTGGTTATTCTAGCTTTTGTAACAATGTTTTCCCCTTAGTGTAGGATCGTTAATTAATCTCAAACTTTTAAAACCATTTATTTTCTTTTCAACATCATCACTTGATAAGACACCGAGGGTGTTGAAACAAAATGGCTATTTTTGTAGTGATTTTATAACATACTTATGTTATAATTTTTTTATAAAAATATATATATACATATATTGTATGAGTACAATATATATTAAAAACTGTTATCCCAGTACCATATATAACTGTTCTAGCATTGTGATAGCAAGATATTTGTTTTAGATTTAGATTAGAAACAGGCAGTGAAAACACAGCACCTGCAGATTGCATGGTGCATGAAAGTCCGAGTCGTAATATAGGTGAGTGATAATATGTATATTTATTAATATATGCTAAAGAGCTCTGTTGTATTACACCGAACACTGTTTTATTAACATAACACACACACACACACACACACACACACACACACACACATATATATATATATATATATATATATATATATATATATATATATATATATATGCAGAAATATAGTTTTAAAGTCTGGTATATATATAGGATAAAATGATCAATATCAGAGGCGGAGCGTATGTAAATATAAAAGTGAACATTGAGTCGAACATTGAAGTGTGGCCTGTCCATTGCTCTAGCATGAAACACCCTGTCACCCCTGAGTGTTGACTTCAATGTTCCTTTTATATATATATATATATATATATATATATACGGCCAGTGTACACTGTTCATATATGTTTATGTTTGTGTGAGCTGCAATGCGTGCACGTGCGTGCATGTCTTTCTGCGTAAGTATGAGTGGCGTACCTATGACAATTTTTCATAAAACACCAATATAGGCAACCATAAATAAATCTGAAATTTCAAAATTAATCAGTTGCTCTGACGATCGCAAAGAGTGTGAAACCTAGTATCACAAACTCACATGAATCCAACTTTCTCTCTGTCTCTGTCTCTCTCTCTCTCTGTCTCTCTCTCTCTCTCTCTCTCTCTCTATATATATATATATATATATATATATATATGCAATCATCCACAGACAGACTGTTTCGCTGTATCACAGCTCATGCGTGACTAGACATGAGATTGCTTCAAACCCGACCGATTTGACATTAATCGGATATTTCCACCCTTAGGCCACCAGAAAGAGAACTTTTAATGCAATATATACGAAATATGAACATTACCCGCTGCCAGAGTGTTCAATTCATGGTGAATATCTTTTAGCAGTAATAGAAGTAGCCAACAAATTCCCTTTCTTCCAAAGTGCACAACCTCCAACATGGGGCGTAATCCGACATATTTTTATCACTTCAAATTAATACTTCATATTACTATTTTTAGTGGATACCAGTATTTGATTAAACACTGTTTATTTTAAATACTGTTTATTTCGTATACCGGGATAGCTACTCGAGGAGGGAATATGTTCTTTAAGTTTTTCTTGAGTTAGTGTGTTTGTATTTAGGTAATCTATCTACATTTAAGCATGACTCAGTGAATAATATAGATATATCTCTTTCTTTGAATAATAAGCATTTCTAGTTCTCTAATCAGTTTTTTAATCTTAACTTAGAATTCATCATAGAAGGTGCGGTAGTTTTGTTTACCCAAGTACTATATATATATATATATATATATATATATATATATATATATATATATACGTAGTAATCAGTTGGTATATACTTCAAGTGAATCCTATTAACGCAATATAAAATATTAAATTGATTGACACATAGAGTTCAATGTTTTTATAATAAACAGAGCAATATATTTCATAAAATCGTAATTAAGATACCATTATTCAAATGATCATTTTCATCTTGAAAAATTAAATTGACAGGATTTTTCAAACAGTCAGTGGATAATAAATTTTTGTAAAATTTATCATCCATTGACTATTTGAAATATCCTGCAAATTAAATTTTACACTGTGAAAATGATCATTTACATAATGGTATCTTAATTCCGATCGCATGATTGATATATATATATATATATATATATATATTGGCTTAAAGTTGACGGAGAGGTATGCATGCCACAATCCTTTCATCCACCACAGCGAGGGTTCTATTTACCCTTTTATGGCAAGCACACCGCTGCGTTCATATTTTCTCAAGGTGATTTCTCCTACAAAGCGGGATGCATGTTTGAACCCTTCCGCAGAACACATTTGCTTTATTATTTTTTCTTGAGAGCTCAGGCCAATATACGTAATACGTACGGTTTAAAATTAAAAATCAGGGCGTCTATTTCAAACACGGACATCCACTACAAATAACGTTTCACGTATTAAAAATGTCAGATTAAAAATATATCCATTAATTCTTTAGAAATTGATTGATTTCTTTTCCACGACTTGACTATTTCCAGTTTATTTAAAACAAGACAACATGAATTTGAATTATTTTTTAGATAATATTGATTTAGTGTTACATGACTTACTACTTATCCCCTAGCTGGTGGGAAAAAATGTGGATTCAAACCTGTCCCAATCGTATTTGAGCGACAGTGAATATAACGAACCCAACGAGAATTTGAACACTGCTCTCCTATTAACAATTCCAAGCTATTATCCATTACACCACCTGCACATCCACGCGTACAATACATAGGATTCCCAAGCGGTCATCCATCAAGGTACTGAGCAGACTCCATTTTGCTTAAATTCAGTGATCGTACGAGAACAGTTGCTTCAACGTGATCTGGCTGTAAAAAAATTTAAAAATTGCAGATGAATAAATCCTAATTAATTTATTTGATTTACATAATATTACTTAAATACTTTTATTCTTTATTACATAAAATTAAACAATAATCTACAGTAGTATTTTTATTGTTTTTTTTTTTTTGCTGTTTACATTGTTTTTCTCAATTTTGTCCCTTAGTTTTGGACGATCCTATTTTGAAAATAAATAAATAATTGTTATAATTCTTTTTCTATCCTTTGCAAATGATTCAAATTTTAGTATGTTATTATGGATGATAACGACTACCAGTTGTCAAAATTTCAGCTTTTCACAGTTGTTATTTCTAACAAATATTAGGTTTAAAAATTTTGTCCCTTAGTTTTGGACGCTACTGTATATAAATAAATGCGAATGTCAGGGTGTCAGAATTTTTAAAATTTGCTCCCAGAGGTCGTAGCCCAACATATCATACCATTTTGGAATCAGGCAAACTCCGTGAGCAAATTTAAAACCTTCCAGGTCGGATCCGGACCCGCAATCTTGAAATTTTGAATTCCCAACTTTTCATTAACGCATTTGTTTTCAGCGATTTTTTAACGTGAGTTTTTACAATGATTTATTTTTTGTACGATAACAGTTTTTATAACGTGGAAATAAATTTTGGAATAATCGAAATTAATTGCGAAATCTAGCGGAAGTCACCTTTGAAATAACTCTTTTTTAACTTTCAATTGCTCATTTCAAATGGAAAAAAAATTGCTCTTCTAAAAATTACAGTGTTTCAAAATAAAATTTTCCGTTTTTTCAACTTTACTCTTAGAGACCGTAACCCAACATATCATACATTTTTGGAATCAAAATGACTCCCTGTGGAAACTAAAAGATCCCGAGCTGGATACGAAACCGCAATCCTGCAAATTTGCATTGCCAAGTTTTCATTACTGTCATTGTGTTCGGTGATTTTTTACATGATTTTTTTTGCAATGGATTTTTTATAACTTGGATATAAAATAGGGAATAATCGAAATTAATTTCAAATCCAGCGGAGTCATCCATGAAATAAAAATAATTGTTAATACGAAAAAGTAAGGACCTCCGTACATCAAATTGTCTTTAAATTATGTGGCGACTGAGCAATTATCGTTGAACTTTCAAAAGCTAAGCTGAAATATTAAATAGCAAGGAAAAGAAAAATCCGTGAAAAGGAAAACCCAGATTAAACAGCAGCCAGAAGAGCTTTCACTGATGAGAATATGTAAAGAGTTAGGGACTCTCAAACTCGTGAACAATCCGAAGACTCAATCAAGAGCCAACCGCAGGAGCTAGCTTAAATGCCACCCGATAGGGCGGCTTTCACGCTAGTCAATCAGTTATGCGTGATACACGCTTAGGCGATCATGTATCTTTCAATACATTTTTTCCCGCAGTAGGTTACCATTTGTTTCTACGGTAGACCATCCAAGGCTGTAGAACCTAGTCTGTCCTGCTATTTACCCATACCTTGAAGAGGATTAGCACAAGTGAATGTAATGGATTCGACTTGAATTCGAAATTGGCTCTCCGATTCCTCAAGCCGAGCTGCTATCCATTACTCCACCGTGCCTCCTTCACGATAGTACAACATTTATTCTTCATTACATAAGATTATATAATAATATTACATAAATTCTTTTATTCGTTAGCATAAGATCCTTGATATTCTACAGATTTCATCGGGTTTTTCGCGATTGATTTCCTGTGGGTTTGAATAAGGAAGCTTGTGCTAAAACGAAAGAAAAGTTGTTCTTCCCAAAAGATCTAAACTCGTTTGATAAGGATTTTTTTTTACAATAATTCTGTGCTTATCTTAATACAATTGTTATCTTGAAAGGAAACTATAATTTTAACCTCTCATCGTAACGAAAACATTACTCTCGACTAATGTTGTTTTCTAAGCAGTGGTATTTAGCTATTTCCAAGATGAAGCCTAATTCGAAACTAGTCTTCACTCTTATATTCGTCACTGAAATTTACTACAGTAAAATCAATTTGTAAACTTAAGGAATCAGCACATATGCTAGGCCACAAAAATCTCCTGAGCCGACCAAGAAATGAATACAATATGGGAATCAGTAATAAGGAGTGCCAGAGAAAAGCGATAATAATAACAAAAATTGCAATATGAGCTCTGGTAAAAACGGTTGCTAAAGACATTAGGTTTATAATATAATACCCAGAAATTCATACACAGATGTCCTCAATGACATATGGCACAGTGAATAAAGACGTTGGTTAGATCCAGTGACAGGACCCACAGAATGTGAGTTCAATACCTGGTTGAGGCGGTGGAAAACTTGGAGAGGGGAATTAACAGGAGATAACTGATAATTGACATCCATTAGACATGGCACGTGGACAGTCTACCCCAGTGAGTATAATAAAGGGTTAAGTTCGACATTCCAACCACCTGAAGAAGGACGGAGTGTACAATGGCCGAAACGTAATAAATATGGCGACAAAGATGAAGACAATAGTCCGAATAATGTAAATAGTGTACATAATAACTCATCTAAGAAATATAGACAGAGAGTAAAATCAATTTTCATATATCTTTATCAAACTCACACATTTCTCTTTTTTTATGCTTATGTAAGTATGGGAGTTACGTCGATTTCATATCTTTAGCCAATTTTCAAATGTATTCTGCATCTTTCCTCCTTGTTCAGTCAATTTTTCGAGTCATATTCATTATTCTCAATGTACTTTTTCTGCTAGTATTAAAGCTGGTCCCACCTTTGCTTTCCATTTGAAATTTGATTATTCAGTAATCTGGTAAACGTTTTACAAATGCCAAAAATGATTTCCCATCACTTAATCCATAGTATCTAGTTAGTATTTTAAAGATATTTTTCTTACGACTCACTGCAATCATCATATACCTGGCATTAAATATATATATATATATATATATATATATATATATATATATATATATATATATATATGGAAGTCAACACTTAGAGGCGACAGTCTGTTTCATCCTATATGCAATCGTCAAGCCACATGTGTCCTGAAGATTACATCTATCATGAAACAGTCTGTCGCCTCTGAGTTTTGACTTCTATATTCACTTTTATATTTACACACGCTCTATCTCTGATATTGAGCACTTTATTCCATAAATATAGCACATTTTAAGACTATATTTCTATTATATATATATATATATATATATATATATATATATATATATATATATATATATATCAAAAGAACATTACATATATTTATTTAAAATATTACGAATAACCTTCGTGATACAAGATAAACTTACAGAACGGCAAAATTATTTTAAATATTTGTAATAAAAAACCGCATACTGAATTTGGAGCAGCCAAGAGTGGCTCGTTCCAGTTTTCTCAGGATTTTTTAAACGTTACTTTTTGTAAACACTTTTTACAATTTTACAAGACCTGTGATGTTTCTTTAATCATTTCGCCCAATGCAAGGTAATAGAACCACTAAGACACAAGTTGTTCACAGAGTGACAAAGAGAAAAAGCAAAAACATTATTAAGGATCGAGAACAATAAAAGAAAGGGTTTTAAGACGACAGTAGATAATGATTGACATTGCAGTTAAACTTTTGAAGATCAAAGTTGACTGGAAAACAAAAAAAAACGGAAGAGAGTTCCACAAGCGATAAGTGCGAGAGAAGAAGCTCTTAGATCATGCGGCTTGATTTAGCCATTTCACAATGTGACCATGTTGCCAATCTATTACTGCGCTTAAATTGATAAAGTCTAGATACCACAGAGGAAAAATTATCGAAACAGTTTTATTTTTAAAGGGCACCGGGAAGCTACATTACAGCAGGGGGAAAGTGACTGAAGCCGTGATGCCAGTTAAAAATTCTTCTTTGGATGTTATCAGGGATCTTTTAATATACAACAGGAGAAGCAGACAATATCTGACAGTAATATTTAAAACATTAACGAATGGGAAAACTTCAAATGTGGGGAATTTTCATTGAGCTAAGCAGGGAATAAAAAACTGACATACTGTCTATTGAATTTTTCATTTAAATCTTGAAACTCGTAAACAGCCTAACGTTTCACGTATCCATGTTTTTTGAAGTGCCATACAGCGCTTATCTCCGAAACATACTACTAGAAAATACAAGAATAATAAAATCATTCACATGTCAAAAAACAGATTAAAAATAATGGCGGCCTTAATATTAAAAGAAAAAGCCAACACTCAATAATATTAATTACGATCCCGACCATATTGTGCTGAGTGTGTTCGAAAATAAAACATCCCTATAATTCTAGATATGTACACACAACCCATAGATCCAGTTAAAAAATAAAAATGAAATCATTCTTGATAATGGCTAAAATTATAGCCGTAATCACTTGGAATTATTGAGCATTTTGTCATTTTTCAGCAAACTCCGTGTCCAGAAAAGAAAACACTTGTTTGAACACAAGAAAAATGAAATAAAAAGCTTAATCGTAGCACCTTATCTGTCGTCTTTAATGAAACACGTACAAAAGAGGGATTGCTTCCTAAATACACAACGTGTATATATATATATATATATATATATATATATATATATAATGATTTACTTAAAAATATGATTCCAAATCGCGACATAAGAAGTCCCATGTGAAAAAAACAAGAGCCGAAAACTTCAATATAATTATTTAAATTATTTAAATTAAATTGAGTTAAAATAAGCTCTGTTCCATCTTCAAGCGAAATTTTTTGGAATAACGTGTTTCTGAAATTTACGTGTTTTAAAAATTGAAATCAAAATTTCCATTGTAACAGAGGGCGAATTGTTTTAAGTTGGGTAGGCGGGTGTTGGGTGTTAATAATAAATATCAGTATAGAGTTACTTTCGTAGATGTCAAGTCAGTGAAAGGTGGGGGGGGTGTCTAAATTTGAAACGGAAGATGTATTAACCCTCGTCTATTTTGCATGTCTATGGAGATTTATTTATTTTTTTATTTTTTTTTTTTTATGAAAAGGATTT